AGTGGCCCTTGTGAATAGATCCTTGTTATCCTTTTTTTGCCTTTGTATATGTGTTATTTTATAAAAATATAATTTACTCGTTCCAGAATTTGGTGGTTCTGGAAAGAGTGTACGTAGATCTCTTTCCTTTTATACCTTTTATATATTTTATATTATTTATATTTTTTATATATTTTCAATTATCTATATTTTGTATAATAATAGCATTTTTTAATATTTGTAAACCTTAGCTTTCTACTCTTTTATAGCTTTAAGATTAGTTCTCTGCAATTTTAAATTATTAGGATTTTTTTAAATACAAATACCTATTAATAATCTTGTATCTTAAATATTATATTATTAATAAATATCAGTCATATGATTTGTCATACATATATTATATATAAATTAAAATTATAATAAAAAACATATGAAATTACTATAGACTTTGCAGCTTTGATGTTTTTTGATCTATATATTAACTTAAAATTAATTTTTGTGATTATATAGAGCATAAAAAAAGAAATTTTTTGCTCTAACTAGCAAGTTATATATAGCTTTGTCATCTTTGTATATTTTAAAAATGTAACTTTACCAAAAATAAAATTTTACTGATTCTAAAATGATAAATATATATAAAAGCATGCTCTGAACAATTTAGAAGATAAAAGTATATTGGTTACCTTGATAGAAAAACAAGTTAACCATATGCTAAAGTTAAAAATTCTAGTTTAAAGAGATCTTCATAACTCTTTACTGTACACATCTGACAGGGAAAGAGTTTTTACTAAAAAACAAGATAACTGCTCTATGAAGAAAAGAAAACCTATCAAATCTACATCCAACAAAAGCTAAAGCCCTTGTTCTACTAAAAAGAAAATACAACCAAACAGTTTCTTTAAACCAAACATACAAAAAATATAAAATATTTGACTTGATAGCCAAGACCACCAACAATGAAGACTCAACAGGTTCTCTCTCATCTAGATTTGAACTAATAGATACAAATACAAGCCAAGCCTATAAACTCAATGAGATTACAAAAACAAGTTTACAAACAAGTGACAATAAAAGCTGGGCTGATATAACAGAACAAGAAAACCCTTAGCTACTCTCAGACACGTCTCAACAAGAAGACAACAACAATCTACAAAATAACAAAACAAAACACGTGTCTGGGGAAAACACAGAGAAACCAGGTCCTTCACGTGACCCAGCCAATCATTTGAGAATGAGCTTCTCTGATGAAAATCCATACTGTTATCCCTCAACTAAAGATTTAACTTAGCATGCTAGTAACAAAAAATTTAAAGACACTCCCTCAAAGCAATAGTCAGACCTCTTCCCCAAACTAAAAAAAGATATACAACCTACTCAACATACTTCCCAAGAGAACAGATTAAGTCCAAGAATGACAATGTTCTCATTATTGATATCTCTCAAATGTTAAGCTCCTTTAATAAAATCATTGCCTCACTATATGAAAGTGCCAAAAATGATGTTGTAGCAATTAAACAATACCTTAAAAAAGGCTTACAATCTCAATTAGAAATTATTTTTGCCAACCATAACCTTTTAAAGGAATATGTAGTGAAAGGAGTCAGAATTTTTAACAAAACCTACATAGAGTACATTCCAACAGATGTCTGTAAATCTTTCTTATCATTCAAAGTTAGAAATATCCTATTAGGAGACAAAAACAAAGTATTAGCCTTAATTCAAGAGGCCTTTGAAGATATAGGCAAAGTCATCTCTATCAAACCTCTCTTGATTGAAGGAACCTTCTACTTAACAGATCAATAGATTGTTACATTTGAAACCACAGAAGATCCCAATCTGAAAAACAAAATCTCACGGTTTACCCATATAGAAGACAACAAAGTCACTATCGAATAGAAATCTGTACCAAGAATATATGCTTCTTTTGTAACCAGGAAGGACATATTAAAAAAAGACTGTAAACAATTTTAGAAATTCCTGGCTCTTCGAGAACACTACAAGAAATACAAAGAATTTTCAAAACCCAGAAACACAATACAAACTAGAAGCCCAAACTTGGCTAAAAGCAAAGATTCTATGCCCAAACAACTAGTAAAAGCAATATCACAAGAGGAGACACTACCAACATCAACAGAAAATATTCTTGGAAATCCAAAGACTAGAATCTCCTCAACAACATCAGAAAACCCAGTTGAAAATATAAGTGAACCTAAAACCATCACTGACTATATTGAAGAAAAAGATACTACAAAAGAAACAAATAGTCAGCAGGACAAAAATAAAGAAAATATTGAATTTACACATACTCAAATAGCAGAAGCAGGAACCTTACCTAACCAAGCTTCAGAACAGCTCCCAAGAGATGAACTCACTCTAAATAATCCAGTAGAAGCCTACAAAGAGCAGACAACAGTAAAGAACCCATACAAAAACACACTAACAAAAATGGATGAAGAAGGCTTCACTACTGTAATGAACAAAAAGAAACAAAAAAGGTTTAACAACACCAAATGAAAACAAGACAACTCAAGACTATCCTCATACAAAAAAGCCAGAGGAGGAGCATCCTCAACTTTACAATAAACCAATATCTTTTCCTTATGACAGTAAACAAAAAAGTTTACATAGGTGCAAAAAAAACAACAAAAAAACATTAACTTTATTAAAATCATACAAACTAGACATTATTCTTTTACAAGAAACAAATCTAGACAACCAAAATACATGAAACTTTAATGGCTTTTTGACTCAGTAGAGGCAGATAAAACAGCTATTTTAGCAAGCAAGAGAAATATAAAACTACAAGACCTACATATCTCTTTCAGAGGAAGAATCATCTTATTAAATATATTATATAAAAACCTCCTGTTTCAAATCACAAATATCTATGCGCCTCCAAACAGAAGGAAAGAAATAACTTTTTTGAGAGATGGTCTCCTCGCTTAGATAAAGATAAAATCAACATTATAGCAAGAGACTTCAACACTAACTTGACCCAATAACAAATCGAATAAGTCAGGCTCTAGCTCAAAACGATCTTACCAGAGCACAACTAAAAAGATTAACAAACAACTTCATTGATTTAGCTATCCCAAGAGAAAGAAAACCATTTCTTACATTCTTTTGAAATACATGAAACAATCAAACAATGGCAACTCAACTAGATTATATATTTATTGATGAAAACCATAGAAATCTCATCAAAAAAACTGAAACTCTATTTGGCAACTCAGATCATCTACTAGTCAAATGCACTTTAAATCTAAATGATAAGCCAAGAAAACAATTATCTTGGAAGTTTGACAAAAACTGTTTCAAAAACAAACTAATTGAAAAAGAGGTCATTGATGAGATTAAAACGATTAACTCAGCTACAGAATGGGACTGGCATAAAATATATATCCAATCAATTATCAGAGCCTTCAGAAAACCCAAACCCCAGAAAGCAGAATAACTAACATTAACAAGAAAACAACTAAATTAAAGGAAATTCTGGCAAGAGATCCAGAACAGGACCACCTATATAGCACTATTGATGATTTCAACTTACAAATTCAAGAAGAACTCTTATGCTTAGCAAATAGATAGCAAATATGCTCGAAAGCAAGCTAGGTCGAACAAGGGAAAAAGTTAATCAAATACTTTTTCTCAAGATTCAAAGTCTAATCCAACTCCTCGGCTCTCAAAAACATTGTAATTCAAGAAAGTCCAGCACAATCTGGTGATAACCAAGTCCTACAATACATTAAAGAACAACATACAGAGCTTTATAAAAGAGAGAATATAGATTTAGAAGCAGCAAATATGCTAACAAACTCTTTTCCAACTGTTCTACAACAAGACAATGAGGCCTTATCACAGGAGATTTCAAAAGAGGAAATAATAGATACTTTTAGAAGTCTTCCTAATAACAAATTACCAGGTATTGATGGCCTTACTTATAAGTTCTACAAGCAAACAGAGGAGCATATTGTGCCAGCCTTAGAAATTATATTTAATCAAGTTCTTAATTTGGGTATTTTACCCAAGTCTTGGCACAAAAACCTAATAACACTTATTCCAAAAAAGGCTTTAAACCTAGATAATATAGACAATTGGAGATCTATTTCATTGGTAAATTGTGATGCTAAAATTTTTATGAAGATCATTGCTACTAGACTAAATAGGAGCACGTATGAATTCTGTGCCAGGTTATGATGATCATTTGTCATGTAATAGTTTTCGGGTATACAAAATATACATGTACATATTTGTAAAATAGTTCTATAAATCATAAAGATATCATTATTAAAATTTACAAAGAATGAATTTTATCTTCCCCAATATCACCACCAAAAAAAAAATTCTATTTTGGTGTTATAATTGGGATAAGTTATTAATAAATTAATAAAGTGAACAAATTTATAATTGACAGATTTGATTCATTAAAAGTTCAAATATCAATGCAATATTGATTTGCTTTCGAAGATCTAAAAGTAAAATTACAGAAGTAATCAATTGAAATACGACAGATATTAATGGCCAGAGTAATAGGCTAAGATTTTTAAAGGATTCTTTATAATAAATAACTAGCACTATGACATTGTAAATATGAGCATTGCCAAAGGAAAATCTGTAACTGGCAATTTAAGTTTATAATTCATCAGATTTTGCTCCTGGAAAATTATTAGAGACATACGTTTGCTAGTCTTTTCTGTATCATATGTCTTGATTACACAATCAGTTATTTTTTTTTAAAAATTTTACGTATATATGTCTTAGTCAGTAGCTTGTGACCAAAACATCAAGAAGTTAGTTATACATATGCCTTAAATTATGTATTGCATCATTTTTTGGGGCCTAAGTCCCGATGAATAATAAACTTAAATTGCCAGTTACAGGTTTTCTCTTGGCAGCACTCATATAAAAAACAATTACATTTTAGAATTTATTAGCAATATTTCAAACTAATATATATGTTTTATTTTGAGTGAAGTTTATATGTATGCTAAATAAAAAGCCTACTTCTAAAAACTTAATATGTAAACTGAGAAATTCTACAAGTAAACATATTGTGATTCATATGCTTTGTATTGATCTATGCTAAAATTGTTTATTCAATCTTTATGTTCAATAATTGCTCTATTTAATTTTGCAAATCAAAAAAAAAACTATGAAAATTTAATTAGACATTTTTTTATTATTTTTTTTTTAATTTTCCCAGGCTAAAAAGTTATAGCATCTGGGGCGCGTGTGGCGCACTTTTTATTTTAGCTA